ATTATGATGAATCTGGCACTAGTTGTCATCAGCAGAAAACAAAAACTCTAGAAAAATAAAATGCTGCCTCTTGTAAAAAAGATTGTGTTTTATTGTATATGTGGTTTTGAAGTATATAAAGTAGTAGAATGTTTGAATAAGTAAAAAGATTTTCCTTCGTTTGGAGGTTGCTTACATAGGTTTCGCTCAGTAAAGCAAAGGGTTTAGTCGAAGAGGTTTCTACCCATTCCTTAACATCCACCTCTTTATGGAGAGTTAATCGACCCCATGCACCCTGCAGAAAGCTAAGATGAACTCCTTTCCCAGGAAGAGATTCTTGCTCGCTGTTTACTGTCTACCGTTCATGAAATTACCAAAAAAGGAAGTTTTTTACGAATTGGAGAGTTGTGGGAAAGAGTTTTTTTTATTATATAATACCTTGTTTTGATAAAAAAAATGAGTATTTAGTTAATAAATTTATTTTTTAATAAAATTTTAAAGAATTTTATAGTACTATATAATATTTATAAAATTTCAAAAAACTTTAAATATTACAAAATTCAAAAAATAATAATAATCTTCAAAGTGTTTTAAATATTACACATAATTCAAAAAGAATAAAACTTTAAAATTTTATATAAAAATAAATTGATTTATACTATAATATTTAAAAAAAAAATATGTAAAACAAAATTTTACTCTAATTTAATTGAACCAAAAAACCTCTGGAGTAACATAAAAATTTAAAAATTTCTAATTTTCAAAAAATTTATAAGAATTTAAAATCTGCTTGCAATACTTACTAATATAACATTTGATCATATACTAAATAATTTGAAGCAATATAAAAATTTAACTGTTATATTAAAAAGATCTTATTTGAAACAAAAACATTTTTTATTAAGTACTTAAATAAATTATCTCAATTTTTATAAAATATTGAAAGTCAATGTTTTATTTAATATTACTTCAGAGATTTTTGAATTATTTCATTATTAATTTTTTTTGAAGTTTTTCAAAGATCTTTGAAATATTACTTCAGAAATTTGCAAAAATTTTTTTAAAAACAGAAATTTCCAAAGTTTTTTCACAAAAATTTTTTCTGATGCACTGTATATTTAAAAAAAATAAAAAAAATTTTAAAAAACAAGTAATTATTTTTTTTAATAAAATATTTTTGTTTTTAATTTTATAAATAAGGTTTTCTTATATTTATTTGCAAAAATATAAGAAGTTTATTTTTAAAAAAAAAAAGACAGAAGAAAAATATTAATATTTTTAAAGTTTAAAATAAAAAAAAATATTATTATTAATATTATATGCTAGTTCAATTATTTGTCAAATATGAGCTAATAATCATTAGTTATTATTGGAATAAAAAATAAAATTGAAAGTTTTTACTATAATTAACTTTCAAAATTTTCAAAATTTGATTAAAATTTTTTTGAATTTTAGTAATATACTAATAAAAATTTATTAAGTAGTTTGTTTTTTATATTCTTATTGATATATATTTAGAATTTATTTTATTTCATTAATTAATTATTAAATTACAAAAAAATATACATTAAAAATTTGTTCAAAAAACTTTTTAAAAAACTGTAAATAAAATAAAAAGCAAGACATACACTTATAAACAATACAAAAATATTGAAACAAATAATAAAATTCGATATTGATTTTTTTTTTAGAAAATTTATATATTTCAAAATAATCATATAATTTATTCAAAGATTCTCGTATTAGAATATATAAAGTATACACAGTATATTAACACATTAACATTAAATATTAAATAATTTTTAATTATATTAGAAGATATCAATTTTTGAATTATTTGTCATTCACGCTGTTCAAATTGGAGAATTACAAAAAGAATCGAAATATAATAACCGTATTTGTAATTTATGTTCAATAAATAATTTAACTAAATAATTTAGATGTGTTTATTTATCATTTAGATTAACCAACCAATAAATTAACAATAGTAGTTATTATTCTCTATACTACTTATTCTATAAGACTAAAATTATTAAAAGGGCAAGTATAGTTATAATTTAGTTTATGCTTTATTTTTTAAATCAATCATGTCTTCCCGATTTACACCGACGCCAATCCACTCAACTGCGGGATCGTAAAAATAAAAATTATGCGTCAATCATAATTAAACAAACGTAAAGTAATGAGTGATAACAATATGGTACAACATACTAGGAATCCTTAAATAATCTTCGATCGTTTTTACGTATTTCTGTGCATTTTCCGGCAAATCAGAAAACCGACGGCATTTTGAAATATCACTCTTCCAGCCCGGTAATGTCTCATATTGTACGACAACCTTTTCAAGGATTTCTAGATCAGCTTTTTAATGTAATGACTCATCAGTTGTGAAATTGTTGGTTAGAAATAATGCTATCAAACTGTTTATACCTGGAAAACTTTCTAAGGGTTTTCCATCCAATAAGTATGCGGTAGCTACTTTCAACTCAGAAAGTTGATCTAATACATCAAGTTTAGTAATATTTAAACTATAAAAAGTAAATAAGAAAGAAAAAGATAAGATTATTTAAAAAGCATTCCTGTAGATATAACAATAATATCATCAATTTACCTTGTATATCCGTTAATCATGGTTGAATACTTTAGAACTACCAGATCGAGCCACCCGCACCGGCGCTTTCGGCCAGTAGTCGCACCGAACTCCGCACCAGCACGCTGCAGGTATTCACCGGTTTCCTATATAATTAATACCAATTATGTATCAGCTAAAGTATTTCAGTTGTTTAACTGATTAATAAATTAAATGGTAAATTATATATTGCCTACGTTTAGCAATTCGGTAGGAAATGGACCCCCTCCTACCCTGGTTGTATAAGCTTTAACAACACCCACAACCTTATCAATCTTGGATGGAGGAATACCTAATCCAGTGCTGACTCCACCCACAGTAGTGTTTGAACTCGTTACAAATGGATAAGTGCCAAAGTCAAGATCAAGCATTAATGCGTTGGCACCTTCTACGAGAATTTTTTTACGTGAATTTATACATTTGTGCATAAAAACAACACTATCAACAACGTAGGGTTTAAGACGTACAGAAAGTTCCTAATTTAAAATCGAATTATTAAAATGTTGTGTCTAGCGAAATATCTAATAATAAGTTCTAAACAAATTTACTCTATAACGTTGAATTTCTGCTTCAACATCGTATTCAAAATCTCCGTATCGTTTCCTCTTGTTAGCCACCAATTGACGAAACTTTTCTGCAAAAACCTGAATGTTCGACAAATGGTGAACCCGAAGACCAGAACGCGAAGCCTTGGATGAGTATGTTGGACCAATACCTTTCTTTGTCGTACCGATACTAAAATTTATGAGATAACAAGGTTCTTATCAGATCGGGATAACTTACCCAAAAAATGAGTAACGTTGCTTATCTATCACCACATTTAAAACCTATATTAAAGCCCTATTGTATAGTATGAATAATACACCTTGAGCGACCTAATTCAACTTCTTTTAAGCCATCAACAATCTGATGGAAATCGAAAACCAAATGCGCGCGATCAGAAATAAAAACTCGACCGGAGACGTCCAATCCTATTTAGAAGTTTTAATTCATGTAACCCGTTTATTAAGGAACGGTGTAATTCAAATCGTTCAATTTGCATCGCAAACCTTTAAGTTTCAATTTTTCCAATTCTTCAAAGAATGAGGGAACATGAACAACTACCCCCGAACCAATGACGGAGATACATTTCGGATTAATCAATCCTAGAATTGATTCAAATTAAACAGGTTCAAATTGAAACATCCAATTTAACAAAGAAAAATTTACCTGATGGAAGCAAATGAAAATCATACTTGATACCATTTGCAACAATTGTATGTCCAGCATTATTTCCACCCTACAAAACAGAATCCTGAATCAACTCTGTTAAGTAAATTAGACAAAAATATGCTGCATACTTACAGCGCAACGCGCGCAAATATCTGCTTCTTGTGCCAATAGGTCAACCAATTTACCTTTTCCTTCGTCACCCCATTGAGAGCCTAAGACCACGGTAACCCCTTTGTCAGAAAGATTAGAAGAATTTAGCGAACTCATAGAATGTGTAAAGTGTAAGGTGTAAAGTGTAAAATGTATTAAAAGACTTTAGGTTATGATAAGAATTTTGATTGGCTATTATCAATCTTGATCTTGATGTTACTCAGAATTACAAACTCAATTAATACAAGCAGTTAACTGGACATCAAATTTGGGGGTCAGAATGTACTAGCCTGTTATAAAATAAATAAGTTTCAAATGTGTAATGTTGACCAATGAGCTGAACACTAGATTAGATTGTTCGAAATGACTGGTCATATTATTGGTGCGTACAGAAATAATAAGTCAACAAACAATGATAAAATTGTAATAATGGGTTATTTTTTAGAATATTCGAAATCGAATATGCTCGACTAATTGATTAATTATATTTCATGTAGCTACATTCTTATTTCTTAGTCAAGAGTAAATTTTAATTTTCTTGAAAAAAAAATATGTAATTTATTAAATTAAGATATAATTAATCTGTTCTTATCTTCTTGTTGGACGGTATCAGAACACCTGCTTTATCGAGACGATTTTTTAAAAATAAAGTAAATTTTTATTTTTATAAAAAAAGAAACGTAAAAACAAGACTCGATTTAGTAACTCGTTAAGAAAATAATTTAGATGAAAACGGGCAAAATGAGACTAAATCAAGTATACATCCTGTTATTGTTTACGATAAATAAATAAATAAAAATCACAAATGTCAATAGTTTTATATAAACAAACATTTACATATTTCTTGTAAGTTAATCGTCTTTTTTTTTTTTAAGAAGACAATTATTATGCCTTTATTTTAATTATAATTTTATTAAAAAAAGTTTAATACAAGATTTAAAAATAGTTTTTTATTTATAATTTTAATACTAATTAAAAATATAATAAAATAAAATTTAAAATTTATATTAAATCTTGAACAGGTTATTTAATTTTCTAGAAATAATTAATATCAAGTTATATAAAGATATTGTAATCATATTATACAAGTTGATCTTTAAATTATAATTAAAATTTGATATATATATATTTTAAAGATAATATAATACTATATATAATAAGCAAATTAATAAGATAATAAAACTATTTTAAAAAAATTTTTTTTATCTTAAATTTCTTTTATATTACTATTAAAAAAATATATTGATTTATTAAAATAAAATCTTTAATCAAAAAACAACAAGTTTAAAAAGCTTGCTAGACTAATAGATGGAATAGTTTAAAACTACCATATATCACTGCATACAATATTTCCAAATACTACCCCCCACTAATAATACCAGGTAGTATTCAAGAAAATTGTTACTTGATAATTGATTACTACCTGGATATATTAATATAATAATAAGTAAGACAATATTATTTTGAATTTTATAATAATAATATACTCTGCCATTAATACTACCCCCTCTTAATAAAATATCCCCCAGATATTAATCAATTTATTAGGAGGTAAATTGATTAATACCCGGAATATTGTATGCAGTAGTATACGGTAATAATATTTTTATAAAATTGATTTTAATAATAATAAAATTATATCTTAAAAATAAAATTTTAATTTGTTTACTTATTTTTTTTTTTTTTGTAGGCAAATATCATTTCTTTATTTATTTGTATAATAATAGATATATATTGTGAAAGAAATAATATCTCTCATATGTATTAGTACAACAAGTTAAATGTTAGCTTGTCTATAGTAACCACTAGATTAATATTGAAAAGAAATTTTTAAAACAATATATCTTATCAAGCGGCTTCAAGCAGCTATAATTACTTAATCAATATTGGATAGAAGAAAGTTAGAAAGATCTGAAATTAGTTTGGAGATGCATTTAGTAAAGTTAAATCCATTTTGAATATATGAGTTAGCTATGATAGTAGGTATGTCTATAATAGTTGATGTTAATATGAAACTATTATTGGATAATTTAGTTTTAACTGGGTTTTGGTGGTTTGTTTTGTTGTATTATTATGAAGGTTGTTGTTTCATTTAATGCTGGTGAGAGGAAAGGTGTTTGCTATGGCATAGCGGGGTGTCCAAATTGACTTGTATAGATAAACTAAAGTCTCAGTTAAAGCTTTAATTCAATTAGAGAAATTATTTGTGAAGAAGATGTTGTTTGTAATGCTATATGCCAGCTTTGCTAGTTGCCAAGCATGCAAGACAGGCTTGTGGTCACCATCAGAATAAAGAATGTTGTTAATGGTAGTGATAAGTTAATTGATATCTTCTAATGCTAATATGCATTTGAAGACATATTGGATATCCTCAGTGTGTAAGCTACACCAGGGACAATATGGATCAGGATATTTTTCTAGATATAATCTGTGGAGATTTTCTTTAGTGAAAAGGGTTCCTGAAAGCAATTTGATTCTGAAGGTAATGAGGTTACTATATTTGTTAGCTCTGGAGCTTTTTATTCTTTTGTTTAATTTGTTAATGATTTCGAGACCTTGGGACTTGTGGATGTATCCAAATGTTTTAAGAACTGAGAAACTTTCATAGATTATATAGATTTTGATAATGTTTAGAATTTTTTTGCTATCTAACATTGCTACCTAGTTGTAGATTATTGATTAATAGGCTTTCAAAAAAGTGGAGTGGTGAATTGGACCATTGGAGAATATTATCAAATCTTGAATTGGATTTGGGATTGGTATATTTATATTGGATTGATTTGTCTCGTATTAATTTGTTAATTTTTAGCAATATTGGGCAAAGTTGATTTTTGTTATTCTTTTTGGATAATCAAAGACTTTTTGAAGAATTTTTTTATTATTTCTTATTTTTATGGTACAGTTTGATAGACATCAGTATAAGATATCTATTATTATATGAAGGAAATCTTCTAGCAAATGTTTTGAACTGGTTGATATTATTTTTGTACTGTTTATGAAAATATTGTTTTGATGGAGTTGAAAATGGTACTGTTGACAAAAGTCAATTCTTTAAAGTACTGATATAGAAGATAAGATGGAAAAGTTGTTAACAAATTAAAGAATATTCTTTCCTTACTATAATGTGGTAGACAGTTCGCTAATTATATTGCATAGTCGATATTTGCTTGTGCTATTAGAATTCGAGATTATCCACAATAAGAATATTGTGGGGCTTGTAAATGACAATGTATAGAAGCCAACCAAGTATAAACCTATTGGACAATTATTACACCTGAACAAAGTGTTATTTGAACCAACAGAATAGTATCTTTCTTTAAGATTTGCCCTTTCATTTATGCTTCAACTTCTTTTGTATGTTTTGATAACACAATTTGAATTGTGCGAATACCAAAATAATGGACTGAAGTATGATACTGGATCATGGGTTTCATGAAGATTGTTTAGATTGTTGAAATCTTTGAACCATTTGAGTTTTGGTCCACAGCATACTATTCCTGTATGTAATATGAATTGGAGCCATAAGAGCTTTTCTGTGCTATAGTATTTTAAAAGTTGGTTGGTGAATTTGATGTTTAGGATATTTGTCATATTAATTGCTATAGTTTTGTTAGAGGATTGCAAGTTTTTGAATAGAAGACCAATAGAGTTTTCTGCATTGTTAAGCTGAAATAGGCAATCGTTTGGACAGATTTTGATTTTAAGATCTTTTACAATCTTGGCTATATATGTTATTCAATTATCCTGGTTAAAGTTTTCTGAGTTGCAAATAGGGCAGAACCAGATTGATTCATTTTTCTGGATTGATCGCAAATCCTAGAGAATATATTTTCTAGTTGCTAACATGAAAAGTTTAGATATTAGGTTGCCAACCAGTAAAGATTTCTGCCTTTCTTCAAGGAAGGCTATACTGAGGCTGTTAGGCTAATAAGAATTGCATTTAAAGTATCTGAATGTGACTTTGTAAGTTGATTTGATGAGTTTATTGATCTTGGATTGCAGTGTATTAAAGGTAAACTTGTTAAGGTATGATAAGAATAGGAAGTATTCGAATTTGCTCATAATAATCCAATCACAAATCTGTTGTTTGATCTCACTTTTCCAGTTGTGTTTGGAAAGTTCTTTCAGAATTGTGTCTGTGGTTTGATTAAAAGTCTTTTTATTGGACTTGAGTAGGTTTCTGGGGAATATAAGTACTCCCAGATATTTAATGCTTTCATGAGGCTTAGAAACTTGAATTGAATAGTTGTTGAATTTGATTGAGTTACTGAAACTCTGTTTGATCTTGATGTTGAAGATTATTCTGGTTTTATCTTTGTTACAAGTAATATTGTTTATTGTAAAGAATTGATTAGCTGTTGAAAGAAGATCTATTGATTGTTTGCTATCTGTGATAAGAGCTAAATCATCCATATATGCCAGAATATTGGAGCAATATAGTATTGGCATGAAAATCTGGCAATTCAGTTGCTTGAGCTTGCCTCACGCCATATAACAATAAGGCAGGTTTTCTTTTCAAAAAAGGCATGTGAATTTGGTCCGAGCTGTCAGATAATAATACAGATCTACCAATAGATCCAGCATCACAAGGGGGTTGTAACAGGTGTAGCAATTTCACGAATATAGTGTGTTGGGGTTGTGTAATGGGACAAATATCCAACAACAGAATAGGACGGGTAAGGAAAAAGTTGCGCAGTACCTATATTGATTGTTTTTTCTTTTTGCCCATACCCTTGTTACTTATATACTTATTTGTAATATACACTTTATACTTGATATACAAATTATACTTTTTATATATTTTCTTTACTATCTTTTTTCACACTAACAATATAAAGCAACTGTACCTGATAAAATGCATCATCTTAATTTGGGTCTTTTTCAATATCAAATTGAATATACACAAAAATTACTAAAGGACCTTTGCAATCTTTCACTTTGTAATAAAATGGATCAAAGATTTATACAAATTCCAAGATTTTCAGGATTAAAAATTTTTTCATATGGTATTCAATCTATTGTAAAACTAACTGCAGATGAATATAAAAATCTAATAAAAGTTATGATTTTTGTAATGGAT